GGCCGCTCCGGGGTACGCATACAGGCCCCTGCAGTGTACGCATACAGGCCGCTGCAGTGTACGCATACAGGCCGCTGCAGTGTACGCATACAGGCCGCTGCAGTGTACGCATACAGACTGCTACGGTGTACAACTTGTAGACGACAAAATAATATTTAAGCTCCTTTGAAGAATTTGGATGCATCTTTGGTTTCTGTTGGACAAATTTTGTTGTGGCTCTCTGAGATCGCAGGTGTTTACGTGGCAAGGACCAAGAACTTACTTTGTTTCTTTTCATTTGCCATGTGGGTGAGCTCACCAGAGAGTCACAGGGGGTGGAGTGGGAGAAAGTACCCCTCTAGGAGGATGGTCATGCCACAATTCCTTTTTCCCCCTTCTTCTCTTGAGTATTTGCTCATGCACACACACACACACACACACACACACGTATACACCCACACCCTGAACATACACACACACACACACACGTATACACCCACACACGTGTGTCTCTCAAGCCACCAGACCTGGGACTTGAACTGTATAGTTGGCCGGGTGGAATCTAGCAGCCTTAACCCTCACGCCACTGCTGTCCCACACCACTTACTATTTTAACGTAACATGCAATGGTGTGTTCCAAGTGGGAGTTCAAAATGTTTTCTAATAAGGTTAAGTAGAATAAAACGATCCCACTTTATTAATGTAGTAATGACCATGAGGACTTAGTTCCAAGTAAATGATTGCTACATGCGATCTTTATATTGTTCCAAGAAGTTTCCACTAATCTTATCAACTGGTAACCTGATTCTCAGTCTCGTTCCCTTTTCTTCCCTTTTTCTCAGTGCATATATTGCCTTTTACAAACTGTTCAGCACCTTGCTTGTTTTTTCAATAAGCAGGAAAGCGAAAAATCACCCCTCGGAGGCATGGTCATGCCACAATCTCTTCTTCTCCAATCTCCTCTTGGGATTTAGGGCATGGACACACACATACCTGGCGTGAGTTTTTTTAAGTCACTGGGCCTAGGACTCGAACCACAGTCGACTACATCGGAGTCCAGCAACGTAACCATTATACCATCTGCTTACACCTGGGGATGGCTTAAATGTCTAAGGGACTCAGGCCAGTAATACAAATGAATAGACGATGTCGGGTGAGATGTGTACGAGCAGGGGAGAACTCTAGAAAAGTCATCTAAAGGGAGGCAGACAATAGCCAAGCGGAGCCACGAGGGAAGGTGGACCCACTATTGCTGAGTGTTCTAATTTCCCAAGAGAACTGGAAATCTGGATTTTTGTAGGACGTCACCTACTTTTAAGAATTATTTAATTAAATTAATTATTATTTTATTATTTAATTTGCTATAGAGCACGTGCAAGAGAGAGAGAGAAGGAAACTGCAAAAGCAAGCTGCCAGGTCTGGGACTCAAACCACAGTCGATCGCGTGGGAGTCTAGCACCGCAACCACCACACCATCTGCTGGACCTGAACATTATCTAAGTTTTAAATGCCGATGAGTAATCCAAATTGGAAGGAGGGGCTGTGGAAGGAAAGGAAGGCAGGAAGAAAGGATGGAAGGAATGGGAGAAGGGAGGCAAATGGAGGAAGGAAAAGAAAAAGAAAGCAAAAGAACCTAGCAGTGATCAAGCAGCACAATGACAGGCCCTGGCTGCCGGTTTATGGCCCCTGCCTCCTGCAGACTTCTGGGTCCATGTCTTTTCCTAACAACTGGAGATGGCCCTAAGAACTTTATTCGGGGTACCCTTGGAAATAGTTCAAACGCAGGCAGAATTTCTATTGCCTTGCCATTTCTTTCAATCTAATCACAGTTTTTATTGAGCATTTAACACATAAAGTCATTACATCACATTAAAAATGAAAATGTTAACAATAATAAAAAGATAAAGCTTCCAAAATGGTCCAAATGACTCTGAGCTACTACTTACATGCTAGCTGTTTTTAAAAATAATGATCAATTACAAAAAGACTTATTTGTTTCAAAAAGAATCTACTGGAGCGCTCAACTGTTAAAATTCACTTCCGAATCCAGAAAGTTATGAGAAAGTTTCAAACGTCAGCATCCTTGGTCCACTGAAAAGGAGCACTTGTTAAAGAACAAAAGCAACCGTCCTGGACATCTTTCTTTGGAGCCAGTTTTGTTCTATGAAGCTCCTGTCCCCACAGAGGTCACCCAAGTTTTTTATCTCGCCCGCTAACCAGGTAAGAGGACACTGAACGATTCAGCTTCGCCCACGGCTCTCAACTGCTCATGTAACATTTTAATATAAACACGTTAAACAACATACATTGTATCCTGCTCTGCACGGGATTAGCAATACTTTAATCACCCTATTATCCCCTTCGCAAGTTTAAGGGACATTTACTTCCGTTTCCACTATTTGTCTAGCACTTTATCAGGGTCGAGATGCTTCAAAAATTCTACTTTCTCTGTAGCCCCAGAGATTCTGCAGCCAGCTCGACACTCATTCCAAGCCTCACCGTAGCCTCCCTTCTCCACCCCGGCTCCATTTCAGACTCCGGACACCCTCGCCCCCTCTCTATGCCGGTATCCGTGGTGTGAAATGCCCTTGGCTTCCCTTCCCTGGATGCATTGACACCCCCCACCTCCCATCCCCTACACCCTACCCCTTGTCCTCTCCTATCCCCGCAAGCCGGCAGCCTCAGCCATTCCAGAAATTGACGAAGAAGTTGCAGACCGAGTGCCACTTCTCCGCGCAGTAGGTCTCCGTGAGCTCTGCGTTCCCGTCCAGCCCGTCGGGGTCGGGCCCGGTGGCCATGGGTCGCTCCTCTACCGGGTCCGAGGCCGCCTTCCTCTTGCCCCCTTTGGTCTTCCGCTCAGGGAGCTTTTCTTTGGGCGGCGCGTTCGGGGGAGGCGGAGCCCCCGCGGCTGGGCCCGGCTCTGGCTCCCGGGATCGCCCGCGGCTCCTGCCCCGCAGGCCCGGCTCCCCCGGGGAGC